GGGGCGAAGGACGGCCCTTGGCAGCCAGAGCAGGGATGCGAGAGTGCCTTGTGCCCCCGTGAGAGGCCCCGAGCCCGTGGTCCAGGCAGCCCTGGCGCGCGTCCAGGGTCGCGGAGCCCGGTGGCGGTCACGTTCGTTGACACGGGAGGCGCAGCTAACCGCCGCAGAACACGATTTGACGGAAAGTGTGTCTGCGAGAGCCCCATCTATGATACATCGACCTTTCGTTGACACGGGGGGCGCAGCTAACCGCCGCAGAACACGATGTGTTGGAAAGTGTGTCTGCGAGAGCCCCATCTGTGATTGGATAGTGCCTCCGCCTCTGCTCTCAGCGCTGCAATTGATGACAGAGAGCGCCGTGAAGACGAAGCGTCCACCAGGGGGGGGGCGAAGGATGGCCCTTGGCTGCCAGAACTGGGATGCGAGAGTGCCTTGAGCCCCGATGGGAGGCCCCGGCCCGCGGCACAGGCAGGCCCCCGCGCGCGCCCAGGGCGGCCGTGTCCGGTTGCGGCCAAGACGAAGCGGGCACGGGGGGGAGGCGAAGAAAGGCCCTTGGCAGCCAGAACGGGGATGCGAGGGCGCCTTGACCCCCCGAGGGAGGCCCAGGGCCCGAGGTACAGCAGCCCCCGCGTCGCCCAGGGCCGCTGGATCCGGATGCATCCCTTTCGCAGGCCGCGTTTTGCTGGGCAGCAACAAGCCTGCTGCCAGTGACCATCCTCCTCGCACCTGATCCCTGCGCGCGCGGTGCCACGAGGTGGGGCAGCAACGGCTACTGTGGGGAGACGGCCCGCCACTGTTTTTTGCCCTTCCTGGGTGCCTGGGTGTCCGGGTGGCCTTTTGCCGCGCGGTGATCCCTGCTCGCTCCGCCGCTTCGACCCGGGTGCAGATGCCACAAGCCGAGTCCAGTCGACGTCGAGGCCCAGCGAGTCGCTGAAGACCCGTACGTCGCACTTGTGGCTGCGGAAGGATTCCAGGAAGAGGTGACAGGTTTGGGGGTCGCGCCGATGCGGGTCGAGCGCGCCTGTGCTGCCAGGCACGGACTGCCGCTTGGCGAAAGCGTGCCAGGTGCCTGCGAACATTGTTCCCAGTGTGACGTGGAGCCGCCTTATCGCCTCGCCGGGTGTCTCCCCGGGTAGGTCCCACTGGTTGTTGATTTCTGTCTTGTACAGCTGCTATCCCGTGTCGGGGTCCGTGGGATCTGGCCATTGGCGCGGGTCAGGCAATTGGTGCTGCCGTGCATCCTGGCCGCAAGTCTCCAGCGCACCGGCCTCGCTGTCCTGGCCGGAGGGCTCGCGATCTGCCCGCGACAGTTCCGGCTGCACGCCTGGCGGGGCTCTGCGGGGTGAGGCGGGCCGCATGGTTGGCCGCCAGGCGGGGGTCGGATCGTCTCTGGCAGCCAGGGCGGACGCTGCCCTGTGGTGCGTGGGGAGAGGCCCCTTTCGCTGGCGTTCGCCTTCGGGCCTGTGCCCGCCGCGGCTCCCGGGCGCGCCCCCTTCGGTCAACGCAGGACTCTCGCCGGTCTCGGAGGCACCGCTGGTTGTGCCAGGCGCGCGCACGTACGGCGACACAGTTTCCGCTGCCAGAGCACAAGATTCTTTGTCAGTAGTGCCCTGGACGCCAGGAGAGAGCGCCTGGGGTTCGCCGCCCATTAGAGTGGGTTCACTGGCAGGGGGAGGGGGGCGAATAGGCGCGAAGGGGTTTCTTCCGACGAGCCAGTGGATGGCTTCGCTGTCCTGCGTCTGGACGGTAGGTCCGTGGCCCCCCCGCTGGGTCTGCGGCGCCCCCAGAGGACTGCTGACGGTCTGATTGTTTTGAGGGGGAGGTGGGGGTGGCACGGCGTGGCAGGCGAGCCCCTGCTGTTCCGGGATCTCGGTTGGCTGACTGTTGCGGCTGCCGTCAGCACTTTCGGGGGACACCCCCTGCCCACCCGGTTCTAATCCAAAGACACGGATGAAGGCTTGTGCCACTTCCGCACCTTCAGAGGCTTCCGCCGCTTCGGGCCCCCGATACTCCGCGGCCTCCGCAGCCTCCGCCGACTCCGCCGCGGCCACCTCCAATCTCCTTTTCTCTGCCCTGCTGCTGCTGCTGAGGGAGCAAGGGTACCTCTGAGTCTTCTCGTGGGTTCTGCTGGCTCCCAGAGGTGCCTAGGAGGCTGTCAGGGAGCAGGGGTACCTCCTTCTGGTCGTCAGAGAGGTACTTTGAGGCTCGCGGGTCTCTCGTCCCCGGGGAGGGTCTGCTGCTGCTGGGGCTGCTGTTGCTGCAGCTGCAGCACCTGTTGCTGGTGGTGCGGCTGTGGTTGCGGGTGCTGCGGCGGTTGCTGCGGCTGCTGAGGGGGGTGTTGTTGCTGCTGCAGCTGCGGGGTGCTGTTGCTGCAGCACCTGAAGCTGCTGCTGTGGCAATGGTTGGGGGTGCTGCCGCTGTTGCTGCCGCTGCTGCGGCTGCTGCTGCTGTTGCTGCCGCTGCTGGGTTATGTTGCTGCTGCTGCTGCTGCTGCTGCTGCGGCTGTTGCTGCTGCTGCTGCTGCTGCTGCTGCTGCTGCCCTGCTGCTGCGGCTGCTGCTGTTGCTGCTGTTGCGGCTGCAGTTGCAGCAGCTGCGGCTGCTGCTGCAGGTACTGCTGCTGCGGCTGCTGCTGCTGCTGCTGCTGCTGCTGCGGCTGTTGTTGCTGCTGCTGTCGCTGCTGCCGCTGCTGCTGCTCCTGCAGGTGCAGCTGCGGCGGCGGCTGCTGCTGCTGCGCGGCCGCCGCGGCCGCCGCCGCCGCGCCAGCGGCTGCGGCAGCCGCGGCGGCGGCGGGCCCAAGGGCGGCCGCGCGGGCCACGGCGGCCGCGGCGCCGGCTGCGCGGCCCGCGGCCGCCGCGGCGGCCGCCTCCGCCACGGCGGCGGCGGCGGGCGGCGCGGCAGCCGCGGCGCCGGCGGCCGCAGGGGCGGCGGCGGCGGCGCCGGCCGCCGAGCCCGCGGCGCCGGCCCCAGCGCGGGCAGCCGTTGCACGCTGACGCCGACGCCATGCCGAGATGGTCTCGTGAGGCGGCGCCTGCGAAGCATCTGGCCGGCGGCCTGCCCGCGGCGGCGGCTGGCTGGCGGCCTCATCAGGCGGCCAGCCGGCGGTGGCCTGCCGGGCGGCCATCGATCGTGCAGCCTCCGTTCAAGGGTCGAAGGCTTGCCCTCGGCCCCTCGGGTCTCGCCGGCCGGCCTGCCAGCGCGCGGCAGAGGCGGGCGCCCCTCGCGCCCGCCATCCGCCTGCGGCCATGGGCGTTGGAATCAGGACGAAGGAAAAAGAGAAAAGGAAAAAGGGGGCAGCGGGGCCTCCTGGCGGCCAGCGGCTTGACCCAGAGCGGTTTGAGCCAGGCTACGGACCTGGCGGGAATACGCGAAGCGTCCAAAGGTTGACCAGCGCCAGAGCAGCACCATTCTCAGTCAGGAGTGCCCACCTCGGCCGGAATCCGCGGCAGAGCGCCACACGCCTCCCCGACCATCCCTGGAAGAACATTACGAGCCCCTCAAGTGAAAACATTGCTCGGTCAACTGGAAGTCCCACCCGCACCAGAAATCTGCGCTCGCCCAGTGTTCGGTGACTGCTGGCTCGCAGCTTTACCCCTACACCCCATGGGAATAATCCCCCGAGGATAAGAAAGTTCAGGGGCCCGCAGGGACACTACATATTTGTTCCTGGCAGGTCGCAGCATAGAGATTCCAGGGACCTCCATTGCGGCCCCCCCCCAGCGCCAGAGCGCGCCAAATCTACGCCCCTGGAAAAAGGAGGGCGCCCCTGGAAGGTGGCGGGCCCAGTGACCTCGATTTCGGTCCCCCACGCGACAGAGCGCTCGAAATCTACGCCCCTGGGAAGTGGCGGGCGCCCCTGGGAGGCGGCGGGCCCAGGGACCTTCATTTCGGCCCCCCCGCCCTCTAGCGCTCGAAATCTACGCCCCTGGGCAATGCAGCTTCTCAAGAGAAGAAGATAGCAGATACGATTGGTACTTGGCCCAATGGGTAATACCGCGCGGCCTCGCTGTCGCCCACCGCCCACCAAAAATGTCTTGACCAGAGATAATCAACACCGGGGGCTCAAGGGGGGGTAAATATCATTATCCGGGGCACGGGTTGCCTTAGTGCTCGGGCTCTGCTGGGACGGCCAACATGCCTCAATGAATCATTGCCTGCATATTCGCGGGCGACACAACAATGCAGCGCCGCCAGTGTCCGCCCACGCATGTGCATGCCGCGTGGAACACACCATCCAGACACCAGACCTGGAACCACCACTCATCCCTCATTTTCTTCCCTTTCACCCCCCTCCTCCGCATCCTGGCAGCCACCTCACCTCCGCGGCAAACCCAGGGGCAGCCCAGAGACTTCGAGGAGCTCCGGACGGTCTCGGAGGATATCGAGGTTTCAGCGGGGTCTTGGGAGGAGGGACTGGCTCACTGATCTCGACCTTGCGGTGGTTCGGGCGCCCTGGCTTTCTGTTCGGGCCCCTCCTCCTGGGATGTCCCCAACGGCAGCGGTCTCAGAGGCTTCGGAGACCCCCTGCTGGGCAGGCAGAAGACGCACGCTGTTTCATCAAGGGCTGTACAAAATTATTCCTGACTCAGCGTCAGTGCCCTGCACACGTCCGCAACTTCCACGGCTTCGAGACACTCGTTACAGAGGTTGTTCACGGAACGTCCTGTTTCGTGTATGGAAATTCACGGAGCGTCCTGTTTCGTGTATGGAAATAGTTTTCAGAGCAGCAGCTCCGCGCACAACCATGTGCTGGTCTCACTTCAAGGACCTCCCTCCCCTGCTGGCCAAGTCTGATGGAGGAGCCTACGCGGGCCGCCCAGGGCAGCAAGCGCAAGGGTGCAGCGAGCAGCTCAGACGGGAAGGGGACGGCCAAGGCGGCCAAGCTGCTGGAGACCATCGGGGACGAGGCGGCGAGCAACCAGAAGGGGGGCAAGGGCGGGGCCTCGGCAGCGCTGCCAGTGGTGCCAACACGCCTCGCCCTCACAAACGCGCGCGAGCGGGCCTAGGTGACTGTCGCCTGCTTCACGTCTTTCACGGTGGCCGCAGCGGTTCCCTTCCGCCCAGGGGACGGGGCGCAAGTACTCGGAGAATTGAGAGGCACACGAAAAAGATCATCAGCACGGCCCGCCATGGCCACACGTATTCAAAGCTTTTCTAAACTCTCAAGTGGGCATGCACGGAGAGAGCAGCGACGATATCTCCACGGGCCAAGGCCTTGTTCGAGGATTACTGGCACAAGGTATGCCTGGCCCCAAAAGCGGCCCAGACCATCCAACTGCACTGCTGTCACTTCAGAATCAAAGCATGCTGGTTCGACAATCAGCCTGGCAATTGATCCTACAATATGCAATGTTGACTACCATCTTTGTTCGTACGCACCGCAATCGGAGAAGATCCCAAGAGGGCCACGAAACGTGCGCTGGGTATGCCAAAATGGGTGCGGTGGGCCACAGAACAAGTGAGGGGGGTGCCAAAACAGGTGCGTTGGGCGCATGCGAACGCAACTACTGGGGCCGTCGGTGGAGCTCCCTATGGAGCCACGAAACGTGTGAGGGAGGGGTGTACCAAACCGGTGCGGTGGGCGCGTGCGAACGCAGCCGGTGAGGCCATCAGTAGAGCTCCCTATGGGGCCACGAAACGTGTGAAGGTGTGCCAGAGTGGGCGCGGTCGGCACATGCGAACGCAGCCACTGGGTCTGTCGGTGGAGTTCCCTATGGTGCCACGAAACGTGAGAGGGGTGTGCAAACAGAGTCGCGCTGGGCGCAAGCGAACGCAGCCACCGGGGCCGTCGGTGGGGCTCCCTACGGGGCCACGAAACGTGTGCGGGTGTGCCAACATGTGTGCGGTGGGCGCATGCGAACGCAGCTACTGGCGCGTTCGGTGGAGGTCCTATGGGGCCACCAAACGTGCGCGGGGTGTGCCAAAATGTGGCGGTGGGCGCAGACAAACGCAGCCACCGCGGCCGTCGGTGGAAATCCCTGCGGGGCCGCGATACGCGTGAAAGAAATACAAAAATTGGCGCGGTGGGCGCATGCGAACGCAGCCGCTGGGGCCGTCGGTGGAGCTCCCTGTGGGGCCACGAAACGTGCGCTGAGTGTGCCAAAAGGGCGCGGTGGGCGCATGCGAACGCAGCTACTAGAGCCGTCGGTAGAGCTCCCTAAAAAGCCACGGAACAAGTGCGGGGTGTGCCAAAAATGCGCGCAATGGGCGCATGCGAATGCACCCAGCGGGGCCGTGTGTGGAGCTCCCTGTGGAGCCGCGAAACGAGTGAGGGTGTGTCAATATGGGTGCGGTAAGCGCAGGCGAAGGCTTGCATGTGGACCTTCGGTGGAGCTCCCTATGGGTCCACGAAATGCGTCAGCGGTGGACCTAAATGGGTGCGGTGGTCGCATGCGAACGCAGCCACCGGGATCTCTCTGGGGCCACGAAACGTGTGCGAAGTGCCAAGAAAGGGCGCGGTGGGCGCATGCGAACGCAGCCACTGGGGCGATCGGTGGAGCCCCCTATGGCGCCGCGAAACGTGCGAGGGAGGGGTGTACCAGAATGGGCGCGGTGGGCGCATGCGAACGCAGCCACCGCGGCCGTCGGTGGAGATCCTTATGGCCACGTAGCGTAGCGTGCGAGAGGTGGGCCGATATCGGCGCGGTGGGCGCATGCAATCGCAACCACTGGGGCCGTCGGCGGAGTTCACCGTGGAGCCGCGAAACTTGCGAGGGAGGGGTGTACCAGAACCGGCGCCGTGGGCGCAGGCGAGGCTGGGGGCCCAGAGTCACTTTCTCAACCCCGTTGCATCCGTAGCCGTTTTGACTCCAATGTCGCGCTGTCAGAGCGCGACAAAGCGTCATTCCCAGCAAAGCAGCGCAGGCGCGATGCAGTCAGGAATCTCCGGGCCATGGCGGGCGAGGTCGCGGTGGAGATTGGCAGATGCAAAGTGGCTACGCCCCGCAGCGTGGATGAGAGGATCCGCGGGGCGGGGCGGGCCCCGGTCGCTTTTCGGCCGCTTCTCAACGCGCGCCGATTCCATATTCTCTGGTCTGAACACCACAGGAAGGAGCTCCCTCCTACATGTAGAGCCAAAGAAACATACCGACGTCGACGACGGCGGACGACGACGACGACGCCGACGACGACTACGACGACGACGACGACGACGACGACGACGACGACGCCGACAACGACGACGACGACGACGACGACGACAACGACGACGACGACGACGACGACGACGACGACGACGACGACGACGACGACGACGACGACGACGACGACGAAAACGACGACGAAAACGACGAGGACGACGACGACGACGACGACGACGACGAGGACGACGACAACGGCGACGACGACGACGACGACGACGACGACGACGACGATGGCGAAGACGACGCCGACGACGACGACGACGACGACGGTCCCACTCGAGACGACGATCGACGAACGACGATTAGCGACAACGACGAACCGCGGCGACGGCCGATTCACAACGACGACGACGCCATGGGGCTTGACTCTGGGTCCGTCTGGGGCGCTGGGGAGGATTCAGTCGGGGCGCATTCTGGTGCGTTCGGGACGTCATTCGCGGCCCATTCAGGCCCGCTTGGGCTCATTCGGCCCCGGCGGGCGGTCTCAAAACCATACGCTTTGGCAAGATGTGAAAGCCGAGGTGGCGCGTTCGCCTGCATCCGCCGCAGCTTTTTTTTCTGCGTTTCTAATAACAGAACCCCCATCTCCGGGGGGGGGGGAGGTGGGGGCCGCGAACTCGAAGCGCTCCCTTCTAGACTTTACCCAGCCCTCACGCCCTGGAATTTAACCTCGGCCGGTTGAGGTCGGCCTTTGAGGTTTGGCCTTCTAATCCTCGTTTTTCGGTCGTGCTTGGTCGGTCGGTCGGTCGGTGGTCGGCGGTCATTGCCGTCGTCCTTGTCTGTCCGTCGTCGCCGTCGGTCCGTCGGTCGGTCAGTCGGTCGGTCGGCTGGTCGGTCGATCGGTCGGTCGGTCCGTCCGTGGGTCGGTCGGTCCGTCGGTCCGTCGGTCCGTCGGTCTGTTGGTCCGTCGGTCGGTCGGTCCGTGGGTCCGTGGGACCGTGGGACCGACGGTCCGTCGGTCCGTCGGTCCGTCGTCCCGTCGGTCCGTCGGTCCGTCGGTCAGTCGGTCCGTCGGTCCATGTCGTCGTCGTCGTCGTCGTCGTCGTCGTCGTGGTCGTCGTCGTCGTCGTCGTCGTCGCCGTCGTCGTCGTCGTCGTCGTCGTCGTTCGCTCGGTCGGCCAATCGGTCGGTCGTCGTCGGTCGCTGCGTTGGTCGCGTCGTCGGTCGCTGCGTTGGTCGCTGGGTCGCTCGGTCATTCGTTCATTCGTCAGTCGTCGCCGTCGGTCGTTGTCTGGTCGTTCGGTCGGTCGGTCAGGGGCAGGTCGGTCGGTCGGTCGGGCGATTTTGAAAAGCTGTCGCAAGGGTGGGCAGCTAGAGCGACCACGCGTCCACCACGGCTTCAACACCTGACGGTGTTGGGGCCAACACCCACACAGGACGAAGGGTTGGCCTTTGGAAGCGAAAACGGCGACGAGGAGTTCGCGAGACAACATCGGCGCCGCCGAACGCACAGCGTTTGGACGCGCTGCCCCCAGCAACCAGGAGAAGAAATAGGGCTTCATATTGGTTTGAATACCAAACTTCCCCCCCCCCCCCCCAGCGAAAAAAAATGGAAACTGGCGGGTTGCGGTGGCGGGATCTGCGAGAATGGTCCCCCCCAGGCCCCCTTGTTCAGACTGGGCAACAAATTTGCGACGAAGTAGATATCGGATCCGTGCGCCACAAGAACATCTGATCCACAACATCAAACAAACGGATTTAAGCGGGCCAAACTTACACCAAAACCAAAAGCAAGCCGCCGGCGGAAACTTGATTTCCCCACTGCACTATATCCGACGGCGGCTATCCCACACGCGCCGGCTACAGACCTCAAACCGTCGTTCCTGGCTCAAGAAGGGACAACGCTCGCCCTGGGGACGTAGACGGACACACCTCGTCAAAACGACCCCCAATTAGCCCACTTACCGCAAGGGGCCCCACTGTCAAATTGCAATTCGCAGCCCCCCCCCCCCGCCCTCTGAATTCCCCCAACTTCCTTTGGGCCCCTCTGGGCGCCTTCACAGTCCCCCCCCCCCAATGGGCACACGACATCGGCGCTTCACCGTCAAATGTTGGGCCCCTCTCGGCCCCTGCACTGCAACTTCCTTGAAAATTCCTCCCGATGCCCCTTCTTGGGCCCTGAGACATCCTTGCGATCCCTGCAGATTCTTGCCGCGCGTCGCAGCTGGCGACGATTCATCTGCGGCGGCGCCCCGCGGCTGCGCAGTGGGAGACTGTCGGCCCGCAGAAGGCATCGTAGAAGACAAGTTCGTTTCGTTTCGCGTTCATACGACACCACAGGGTCCCGCGCCGGGCGCCCGCCGAACGCCCGCCGCCCGGCCCCGGGCGCGCCGCCCCTCACAGCTGCCGCAAGCAGCCGCTCCGAGGGAAGATATGGACGCCGCCAGGTGGTGGTCTCTCACACCCCATCGCGCCCGACCTCCAGCTGCCCGACCTCTGCAACACCTCCAGCTGCCCTCCCCGCCCGACCTGGGCGGACAGCGCAGGTCCTCACCGGGGCAAGGAGGAGTGGAGGGGGGGGAAGGGGGGAAACGCCGCTCTCCCCACTGACTCACGGTGGACAGCGCGGAACCGCGAGAAACCGCCCCCCCCCCCCCCCGACACGTTGGACACGAGGCGGACGGACAGCCGGGCGGTGCTTGGCCCTTTCGGCCTTTTCCCGCAGAGTACTCATCATGCGACACGCCTCTGCGGGGGGCTGGCCAAACGCCAGGGCGAATCGCCAGCCACCAGCTCCCACCGAAAACGGAGGAGACGCGCGAGGCGGGAGCGGCAGAGGAGGCACAGCTATGGCACGGCCCGCTCGCGCCCGAATCGGCCCTGTGGTCTGCAGGGCAGACCGGGCAGGCCCCGTCAGACCAGCCAGGGAAAAATGGCACGACGGCGACGACGATCACAAGTCACCAGCCCC